GCTGTTTGGTTATATATTTTCGTATATACATAAAAATTGTTGTTTTTTTAAATGTAATTACGAATAAACAATTACGGATTATTTGAAATTTATTTTGAATCAAAGACGATCGATTTCGTTTCGATCGAACGATCTTTTTCATTTTTGTTTAATTTTTTTAATTAATAGTAAATTAAAAAATATTCCAGCAATCGGTCGAGAAGATTAATAATTTCCACGACGGTTGAAAAGATTTCTAGTGTAAGGAATCTTTTATTCGAGGGGGAAGGAAATCTTTTTATCGATCAATCAATCGATCGAATGTGACGAAATATTTGGAAACGATGATATCTCCATACGATACCATTTCCCCTGAATGTAATCAATTCTCGTTTCGTATCCTTCCTTACGTACCTTTTGACCAACCAAAGCGACGTATATTATCCTTTCAAAGATTTCGAATTAACAATCACTTTTGGCAAAGAAGGATCGGAATGCTTAAAATTTCGAATCGAAAGCAAAGAAGACGAACGATCTTACTTTTTCCGTTAATCGCAAATTTACTTGCACAAGCAACTTGATAACTCGCTTAACAATAAAATTAATAAAAAGAAAAAAAATGCCCCCAATAAATCTTGGAAGAAGGATTTGAGAGAGAACTTGTTCAAAGAGGAATCCATCCGAGGACGAAACTCCCACAAACTCCACCGACGCTTTCCACCTTCTGTCCACCTTCTATCGTGGACCACCTTCTAAACGCGGTTGAATTACGAGCCGAGCTACGGTCGAAAGGATTTAATCAGGGCCCGCTCTCACAAAGGACAAGCGGCAATTTGCAGCGGCGCATAAATCATCTAGGGGGGGGAGTCCCCGCGATCTATACACTTTTTCACCATAAATAACTGTGCTAATAGCAGAGCCGCGAGATGAATGATCGCCGCGAACCGAGTCGAGTCGTACGAATCAATTTCGTCGAAGACCTGGTCTTTCTTTCTTTTTTTTTTCTTCCTTTTCTAACGCGTTCCGGGGACGACGAGAGAGAGAGAGAGAGAGAGAGAAGGAATTTTTCAAACTCATCGTGCGACGATTAAACGCATCTCTCCTTTCTCTGTGTGAGAAATATGGCCGATCTTTCTACGGTCGTTGCTTCCGTCGATTCATTTTTTATCGTGAAATCGAAGGGAAATAATCGACGAGTTTTCGCGATTCGAATGAATTTTCGCCTTTCCGAGATGATATGCTTAATCCTTACCTAAGTGGATTTAATTTCGTCCTTGCGATCCTCGAATTGGCGAAGTTTCGCGACGCGTTTGCGAAGATGGATGGAAACTGAAGCCCTTTCAATTGCATCATGCAACGACGCAATTGTAATATGCTGCTACGATTCGAGTTATCGAGCATCTCTGGAAACGTCAAGCATCATCGTCAATTTTCTTCTCTCGGTAAACACGATTTTGACGATTTTTCTCGAGCGCATTTCTGATCACGGCGGGGAAGTCGTCTATAACGAAATGAAAGTCAGTCGCAAAATTTGTACAATTTTCGTTCGAGCATTAAAGTTAAAGTGACGCGACAAGGCCCATTTTTGGACAAGAATCGTATTTCTGTAAAAATAAAAAAAAAGGAACAATTTCGAGCAATGGATGGACAAAATTCATGGAAATGAAAAAAGGAGCCTGTTCGATGAATAATAAAAATCGTAAAGTGAGAGGGGAGGGGGATTAGTTGGTTCGCGCTCCATTTCCTCGCATAACAGGCGCGGGAGAAGAAAAAAAGAATGAAAGAAAGGAAGGAAGGGGAGAAGAATGGACAGGGCAAGCCCTCGATGTCGAACTGTAAATATTTTCACCCTAACGATCGCATGATTTTTATTAATGAAGCGGGGCAGGATAGGGCTTTGCCCCCAAATATTATGCCGGTTGAAAGGTTATATTCATCGGGTTCCTCTTTTTGTTGCCGCGGTAGCCGTGGAATCCACGGGTTATCCGTGATCGATCAATCATCGTTTTCACCGCTGACATCGACATAATACTGTCGTCGTCGTCGTCGTCGTCGTGAAAACAATCAAGTCGAGAGCCAGGCCACTGCTCCACTATTCCGTATGGGGATGGAATTTTTGAACAGGATCGAAATCCCCGATACTTATTCTCTCGATGGAAAGAAGGGGAATGGTGAGACGCTTCGTTGATGGCGATCCAATAATTTGAACAATGAGAAAAAAATTATTTTCATTCGCGAAATTAAGGATATAATCATCCAACGTTATTAATTATTTCGATTGTTGATACAATTATTAATCTTAACTACTAAAAAATTATATATATGCATAGGATATAAATAAAAAAATTGTTGTTCTATTGTATCGATTGTATACGTTAGAATTCTCCGGATTTTTACGTTATTGGAACAAAAATTTTTTTCGACAATAAAAAGACCAGTCTCTTGATCTTTCGTCGAAAGTGTTTTAAAGTGAAATAGACGCTTGTTTAATTGTAAATGACAGAGATAAATGACACGTTTTTGGAAGATTGTTAAATTGGATAATAAATTCTCGAGCGATTACAAATTATTTTAAATTTACACAACGTTTTACTTTGCGATTAATTTCACAAACGAACTCGGATAGAATACCACGTTTAATTGGTAAAAGTCGCTAAATAAATGGTTGCCCGCGTTTCAACGAACGACTAGCGCTCCGCGTTTATTTCTATTCAACGGATATCCATCTCTTCGACCGGTTCAAAACAAATTCAAACCTCTCAAAACTCGTAAATCGCGCGCTTCCATCCGAGTCAAAAGCGGTGCGCAATTATCGAAATTACCCCCTCCCCCCTCGATTTCTTTCGCCAGTGATTTATTCGCTTCAATCAACGATCGTTTTTTTATATTTAACCTAATTTTCGAGGATCAAGTCATCATTGGAAAATACGATTAAAAATAAATTGGAATGACTCGAGAAGAATTTTATCGATTTATCGAAATTACGCCTCCCTCGATTTCTTTTACCGATTTATTCACG